AGATAGATCAGGATAACCTGAGCCACTCTAACTAGAAGCTTTATCAAAAAGGAAAGTTACCTCCTTAAATAACCTGGTTGGAACTGGAACTAACATCCAAGTTGAAGGCTTAGATGAAGACAATAGTTTTGCTAACTCTGAAAGTTCAACTGAATCAAAGCAGTCTAAACCCGGTTCAGATTCCATGACTACCTCAGATGCTGCCCCCCCCTCCAGAGACAAACCAATCGCGGATAGAGGAGTGCTAATGATCTTATTTTTAATAAGATCAACCTTATTTATAAAGAATCCCATAAAATCGTTCCTGCTAAGAGCAGGTGGAATTGACGGTTCAACAGAGCTATGGCTCTGGGTGAGTTTGGCAACTGGATTAAAAAGAAATCTAGGATTATTCTTATTCTCCTCTATTATTGAGGAGAAATATGCTGCTCTTGCTTTACAAAGGGTCCTCTTATACAGCAGGAAACTATGGACGTCATACACACTTTGCCTTGTTTTTAAAATATATAAACATAAAAAATATAACAGCGGATGCTGAGGAAAAGGCTTTATTTTACTGTCCTCGCTCCCTTTCCTCAGGCTAAGACGCATGAATCTTCCCGTCATCGGCGCAGAGAAGAGCTTCACTTTGTGGACGAGTATGGTCAGCCCATCACAGTGGCAGTGGAAAGTAAAAGTGGGCGTGGTCACAGGAGGCGGCGGTCCCACTGTGCCATCGAGTGTAGCCTCCCACCAGAGAGGCACTGGGAGGCCCTGAGAGCGATGGGTCTAATGGAGGGGGAGGAAGGACAGGGAGACGTCTACGGTGCAGGGTGAGTACAAGAGCAGACCAAAGGCCCGACGCGGTCCTGCAGATCCATCACTACCTGAAGGAAAAGAAACATATCTTTTTTATCTGTGATAAAGTGCAGTAATTAAACACTAAAGAATGACGTAATAATGAAGCACATAATAACCAATGAAGCTATGGATGCATGTACAAAACAAATAAAGAAATAATCATCAACTTCAAAGGTAGTAACGAAGATATGAAGAAAAATAAATAAATCAATCTACAGTAAATAGAAAAAAGTTAGAATATAAATAAAGTCATAAATTAATCTAGACAGTAAAGAGTCTTACATGCATTCTTTGCTCATAGAATATTTTATGATGAACACAGCATTGAGGATGATGAAGATGATTAATAATAATCTCCTAATCTCAGCTCAGACCCATGTGGTCAGATTATCCAACCCCAACGTCCCTCAGCTGTGAACAGCTCATCATTTTCATTATATACCTTTGGTTTCCATAGAGAGGACATGGAGAAAGACTTCCGTACGGCTCCGAAGCGATTCTGGTCCACCATCCGGGGTCTGAGGAGGGGGACGCGGTGCAGCAACAACACTGTTTATAGTGGGGATGGTGTGCTGCTGACCTCGACTCGGGACATTGTGGGTCAGTGGGCGGAATACTTTGAGGACCTCCTCAATCCCACCAACATGCCTTCCTTTGAGGAAGCTGGGCCTGGGGACTCTGGGCTGGGCTCTCCAATCTCTGTGGGCGAGGTCGCCGAGGTGGTTAAAAAGCTCCTTGGTGGCAGGGCCGCGGGGTTGGTTGAGATCCGCCCGGAGTTCCTCAAGGTCCTGGATGTTTTAGGGTTGTGTTGGCTGACGTGACTCTGCAACATTGCATTGACATCGGGGGCAGTTCCCCGGGATTGGCAGACTGGGGTGGTGGTCCCCCTATTCAAAAAGGGGACCGGAGGGTATGCTCAAATTACAGGGGAGTCACACTCTTAAGCCTCCCCGGCAAGGTCTATTCGGGGGTGCTGGAGAGGAGGGTCTGTCGGATAGTCGAAGCTGGGATTCAGGAAGAGCAGTGTGGTTTTCGTCCTGCTCGTGGAACGCTGGGCCAGCTCTACACCCTCAGCAGGGTCCTGGAGGGTGCATGGGAGTTCGTCCAACCAGTCTACATGTGCTTTCTGGACTTGGAGAAGGCGTTCGGCTGTGTCCCTCGGGGGGCCCTGTGGGGGGTTCTCCAGGAGTACAGCCCTTTGATACGGGCTGTCAGGTCCCTGTATGACAGGTGTCAGAGTCTGGTACGCATTGCCGGCAGTAAGTCGGGCTCGTTTCCTGTGAGAGCTGGACTCCGCCAGGGCTGCCCTTTATCACTGATTCTGTTCATTACCTT